TGTCCTAAAACGAAAAAATTTAAGATGTTGGAAAACTCTTATTTAAACATTAAAATTATTATTATTTAAAAAAAAACAAAAAAAAAAACAAACATTGTATACAGTAAGATGTTTATTGGCTATTCACTCCAAGTCCTTATATACATACATGTTTTCTCTCCTTTTGTTTTTAATTAATATTAAGACATTATAAGAGGATAACTAAATTAATCTAAGTGATTTATTGTCAGCCCCAGTGCTACCAGTTTTTTTTTTTTTTTTTTTTTTTTTTTGTATAACTCGAGTTCTGATTTAAGGTGGTGCTGCCTTCAAATTTGAGTCTGGAGCCCTGGCTGTGAACTTAAAATAAAACAGCATATCATAATGTTAAGTCTATTTATTATTAAAGAATTTGTCAGTATTACAGTTATTTTGGGGGAAATTTGAATAATTGCATTGCGAGCTGATTTAAGGTGTGCCCCTAAATTTTCTGCTTGCGCTCCTAAAATTTTCAGTCAGGGGCAACAGCGCTCCTAGTAAAAAAAGTTAGTCTGGAGCCCTGATATATATATATTGTCTTTTCTCAGGTGTTTCTCAGCATGAGAATGTCCAAATGAAATGAAATGTATATTTTCTAAAGCTTTATAATGTGTTCTATGAAACGATACCTATGTTCTGAATCTCCTCGTTATAGTTTAATGTTTGAGGACTAAATAAAAAGGATACCTTCGTTCCAAATGCTGTAACTTTTGATTACTTTTTGTAGTCCCAAAATTTTTTAAATCGTATGCAGCTCACATTTGGGAACTTCATCAAAAAAGACTTTCCTCCTATACCGTATTTTATTCCTGAGTCATTGCATGTCAAAGGAGAAAGATATGCAAATTCATGATGTGTGTGTATATATATATATATATATATATATATATATACGTGTGTGTGTGTGTGTGTGTGTGTATATATATATATATATGTGTGTAATCTGTGTATATATATGTGTATATATGTGCGTGTGTGTGTGTGTGTGTGTGTATATATATATATATATATATACTGTATATGTTTGTCTTTTATTGTGTATTTTATATTTTCAAAAAAAAAAACATATATGAAATGATACCTTTTGACTCTCTCTGCTATAGTTTTGGTATTTGTGTGTCACTCAACTCTAAAAAGTGTGTGTGTGTGTGTTTGAGAGAGAGATAGAGAGCTACTCTGTGTTTATGCTCTGACCAGACCTTATTTTTATTTTTTTGACAAACAAAGTGAAAAAAAATTCATTTTTTTCATTTTCCCATTCATTTTCAACCAAGCCCCGATGTTTTGTGTGTGTTAATATATATATTATTTAGGAAAAGCCACAGAGTCTCATGCCCCTTGAGATGATGGGAACAGTTATTAAAAATGAAGGAAACGTCCAGTGTTAGCTGGACCCCGAGGGGTGATTAAGGGTTAAAGCATATTAAAAACACCACATCGACATTATAAACAACATTAAAAACTTGATTTTCACCAGAGAGGGATTTTAAAGAGTTAGTAAAGCCAAAAATTAACATTATGTCATTAATGACTCGTCCCAAGCCCGTTCATCATCAGAACAGTTTAACCCCTTTAGTGTGACAGGCCTACCGGGGGGCCCAAATCCATTACATTTTTAAAACAGTATTATCCTATACTAAACCTAAACTAATCTTGACAAACTATATGTCATTTTGAAAGCTTAGAATCTCTAGTTTTCATATTTGGTGATTTTCAAAATATATTACAGAGGAGCCGTAATTTATCAATTTGCAACAAGAATATTTTCATACTCTAAGGCGTGTTTAGACCTTCATTTTGAAATTGTGATGAACATGAAAAATCATTAAAGAAGGGTAGAAACCCAAAAGAAAGCCTCCATTCAATTATTTTATAATTATAATAATTATTATTTCATATGGAAATGGAGGCGCCCTTATATGGGCATGGATACACTAACATATTAAAGAAATTCAAATGATTTTTGGATCTTTTGTTTTATTTAAGGCAAGACATCACCGTACTTCCCCAATTGATTTTTTTACATTAAGAAAACAATTTTTATTTACAAGTTTTCTGAAAAGTTATACAAATGAGGCATTATCTAATTAAATATGCATTGATTTTCCAACATTAAATCTAAACATTGGATAAAACCAGGTTCAAAATTCTTCTTTTTTTGGATATATTAGATTCAAAGGATTTTAAAGAGGGAATTTTGGATATCTCTTTTTTTCGGCAGCCAGAAAAATGTATTTGCCATTTTTTTTTTAGGAATAAAACGTTGTATAAAATCAGGAAAATTACATATGAACAAACCGCTCTGTAAAAACCTTCAGAATATACACTCACCTAAAGGATTATTAGGAACACCATACTAATACTGTGTTTGTGGCATTGATTCAAAAAGATGCTGAAAGCATTCTTTAGATTGAGATTTGTCGGATGCAGATCCAGGGCACGAAGCTCCCGTTCCACCACATCCCAAAGATGCTCTATTGGGTTGAGATCTGGTGACTGTGGCGGCCATTTTTGTACAGTCAACTCATTGTCATGTTCAAGAAACCAGTCTGAGATGATTCCAGCTTTGTGACATGGTGCATTATCCTGCTGGAAGTAGCCATCAGAGGATGGGGACACACTCTTAGAAGAAAAGGTTCTATATAGAACCTTAAAAGGTTATATTAGCGCTACATATTTGGAATCCCTAAAAGGTTCTATAAACTCTTAAAAAAGGGTTCCTCTGGGTTCTATATAGAACCCTGGGGTTCCATACTTGGCCAACAGAACCTTTTACCAAAAAAAAAAAAAATGGTGAAAAATATATGAAGCGGGGGATGGAACCATTTCTGGTTCTAAATAGAACCATTTCTTCTCAGAGTGATGGTGGCCATAAAGGGATGGACATGGTCAGAAACAATGCTCAGGTAGGCCGTGGCATTTAACCGATGCCAAATTGGCACTAAGGGGCCTAAAGTGTGCCAAGAAAACATTCGTGTTGTGGCTTCGCTGAATACCTCGGTTGTAACGAGTGGTTATATCTTGACAGCATATTCAAGTAACCAAATTACTTTAAAATGGCTAAAAATGTGTGGCTCCAATGCTAAAAACCTGTTTAGTCAAACCCTGCCCTATAGTTCTCAGGCCAAGTTGGCATGGTTTGAGGGGAAATAGGATTTACCTTATCCTTTTCTACAGAAGGACTTGTGAAATGGAGCAAGAACTGTTTTTAGAAGATTAACACATTGTTGGTATTTGTATTTAAGCATTTTGCATTCCTCTGGATCTCAACTGAACACTGTATACATTGGCAGATTGCTGAAAGTTCATAAATCTCACAGATTTGGAGGTGATTGGTTTATCACTCTAACAAATGCTGGGTTGTTTTAACCCAAATTTGGGTCAAATATGGACGAACCCGGCCTCTGGGTTAAATTGTTAAATCACATTTTTAACCACACGTTTGGGTTTGTCTTTGTCCATACTTGACCCAAAATTGGGTTAAACCAACCCAGCATTTTTCAGAGTGTGATAATGTTGGCATATCTCTTAGTGTTTTTAAATCATCACTTAAAACTTATTTGTTTAGGGTAGCTTTTACTTAATTGTTGATAATTGTTGTATTATTATTATTATTAATCCTATATTTCATAATGTTTTTATTTTGTATTTTATTGCATAGTTTGTTTAATTGTATGTTTTATGTTTCTATATATTTGTGAAGCGTTTTGAGATACCTTTTAAAGGCGCTATATAAAATAAAGTTTATTATTATTATTATTATATTGGAGTATGATCATATAGATGCTCTAGCTGCAAACCGACAATGAACTAAACCCAATCAACTAAAGCGGAGGGTAAAGGCACTGTTATTTCACCCTTTTGAATTTCGTTGAGGTTGTGTTCCCAGCAAGTTTGGATCGCTGTAACTTGAATTTGTCAAGAATGAACGAGTGTCAAGCATGTCAAGTCGCGCTTTGTTTACTTCCAACCGGAAGACACGCCCACTTTTGACGCAAGGCCTCATGGGGCGTAGAAAACTTCCCTGAAAGTGAGAATTGTTTTTATGTTGTGACATTGAAATTCCAACTAGTAAAAAAAATCAATTCTTGAAATAAAACAACTGAATTTAAATGGCAGCGTATGGTGACACTTAGTGACAATATTACAGATATCAATAATTATAGTTTTTACTGGTGGAAATGTAATTGTTGATATCAAGGATTAGCATAATAGTGGAAATGTAACTCCTGATCCTGATATCAAACAAAAATTCCATTAAATGTAATTCCCGATAACAAGAATTATCATTTGAACAAGTGAAAACTGAGTTGTTGATATCAATAATTCATATCCTGGAAATGAATAAAAGTAAAAACTGTTTGCCATACCTGCTCCTGCAACTAGGCTCACATTTGTGATGTCATCATATAAGGACTAAATATTACATGCAATATCCAACTTTGAACAGAAGAGGTCACTTTACTACAACTTGTATATAGAAGAAATGCAGATTGTGTATAAAAAAGCACATTTGAAACCAAGTACAGTATATATAAACTTTTTAACAAGACATGATAAAAATAAATTCAGCTTTTTGAGCTTAATTTATTTTGACATTCATAGAAAGGTTTTAAAACCGGGACGTTTTCCTCAGCAAAAAGAGAAAATTAAGATACTTTCCTCTCACGGTCACTTCACAGGGACTTTGGTTTGGAACAACAAAAAGAGTGAAGAAAATAATGACAGATTTTAATTTTTGAGTGAACTTTATACTCTTCAATGGATCACAGTGACATTCCTTCCACATACATCAGAGACAGAAGACATATGACCAAACTGACGTATGACGAAACCCAAACCCATAGAAATAAAAAATTAAAATAAATGTGAAAAAATCTCAAGCAAAGTACAAATATATTTATTTTTGGAATAAGAATTACATCACTCCCAATGTTAGATAAGGTTTTAGTTTTTTTAAAAAAAAAATATATATGAATATAAATAGAAAAGCACACATATCTTTCACCAGTTCTTTTTTAGATGCAAAGTCCCTTCCCCTTCACCTATGCAAGTGCTGTTTGCGTTTTAACCAGCATTTGAGCTTAGTAACTCAGCTAAACAAAACAAATGTTCCTAAAATAATGGTTTAATTATTATTATAGTATTATATTGTTTTCATACTTAAAATACATTCTCGTAACCTTGAGTGAAAATGTTCTTAGAACAATGTTCTTGGAACGTATTTGTGATGTTATTTGTACTTGACTGAGAAAACATTCTTTGAACAACATTCCAAGAAAACAAAAATATGTTCTTAGAATGTTTTTCTGATATTCGCATATTATGAAAACATTATTTATGAATATTTTTAAAACGTCCATTTTTTTTTCAATGTTATTAAAAAACTAAAAATAACCTGCAGGGAGCGTTCTGGAAAGTAGAAGTCTGTGTTTATGGATAGACTGACGGAGCGATTTTTGAAGCACTTTAATATTTAATGCAATTAGAAACTGTAAACACTCTGGACAAATGTTCCAGCACAGTTTTTGGATCTTAAAAATCCTGTTATTGAAATCCATACCTGTGGCTGTAAGAAATTAATCGCTTATGATTTTACATTTTCAAAAAGATTGAATGGAATTTTCCTTTTAACGTTAACAGTAACCAAGAAAAAAACGTTCTTAACCTACATAACTTTAATGAAGCAATAACATAAGTCTGATAATATTTATATATCATCCATCAGGAAGCAAAATGTTGGGAAAAATATTTGGCATGTTTTGTCTTTATGTGTGTTTAAGCTAAGGGTTTGGACGAATTTCTTTATAGTTTTTGATAATTTGAGAGAAGCGAATGATTTTGATCTGGTCTGGTTTAGATTTTGTGTCATCCCACAGATACTCGGGTGAAAGCAGTTTACTGGGTTTGTTATAAAGGAAGTACTTGTTCAAATGAGACTCCTCCTGCCATACTGCCTCAATGGATTTAGATGCATCAATTTCCAGCTGCTCCCGGCAGGTTTTAACAAGCCGATATACGTTTTTCACTAAACCACCGATCACAGCCCCGCCATAATAATAATCACCCTCATTAGAAGGAATGAAAGCTTGAGACTCTGGTCGGCGTTCATATGTGAATTTGTTACGAGGCTCACCATAAAACCATGCATGTATGACACCTACCAGAGGACTCAAAGTCTCCACCCCCCAGCGACCATAAAACTTTGAATCCACATCAAGGCTGAAAATATAGTCGGCTTCATTAAAAAGTCGACTCTCAATCAGTTTCTCCAGTCTCGCCATCCGGCTCAAACTGATATCCTGCCACCTGTTAGAACTAGGGACTGTCAACACCGTCAAATGATGTTCTTCACTCAGTTTCACTTCAGGAACCTGTTCTGGGTGATCAGTGAACACATAATAATGCACACGGAATCCAACAAAGTAATTCTGCTCGGCAGACTCCAGGAAATCTTTAAGAAACCGTGTATACCTGAAAAAAAGAGAGGGAGAGAAACACAACTGTAAAATAATAAACTGGCAAAATTATTTTCCCCTTTTTACGGTAGCAGTTTATTAAAAAAGACTATATTAGGGCTGGGTATTGACACAAATTTCACAATTCGATTCGATTTTGATTCACAAGCTTGCAATTCGATTTCGATTCCGATTCGATTCAATATTGATTATTTTGGATATCAGTCACAGGCAAATTTTCTCAAGGGAATCAAATCTCTTAATAACTAATGCTGTGAGTCTAGTTGTATCCTATAGGCTTCATTAGCCTAATATGAAGGTAATAATGAACTGTTTCGTAGCTGTACAAACACTTAAATTACACTTATTTATTTTTATAATAAGAAGATTATATGAAATATAAACATTTAAATGGTGGCTGTCAAAAACTTGCCAGATTTATTCAAGTATGCATTAAATATTGAAGAACATTAAGATTATAATGCATATGTAATATGGTGTGTATATTTAGCAAAATGCTCCTCTCTAGAGTTATTTTTTCTAGCTGACTAACGAGTTTATGTGGGTTTTCTGAGGTAAATATGACGATACATGACATTGATTAAGCTGTTTAACTGACGTATTTCCACGGTTGAAACGCTGATTGAGTGAATCAATGTGACATGATACGGATTTCGATAAGTTGTACTCTATCTTTTAACACACTTTCAGATGCTCACTCATGTTTATTTCGCGCTGTGACTGGTATTATTAACCCGGAAGAGAGATCAGCGCTGCTGCTTCTCTTGAGCTGAGCCAGAGCGATCTCACTCCACAGCGCCAAAACGCTATTTATGTTTTTGACTTTCTAAAGAAAATGGACGTAATTTGAAATTTGAGACTTTGTTTCATATCAATAGCAACAAAGGACAAAGATTATTGCGATATTTTGGATGCGCGCAGCCGCGATACAATGATCCATTCAAATGAAACAGGATGAGTAATCGATTCTTGAGATTTAAGAATCGATGTCGGTTCGTAAAAATGAGAATCGATTAACATCGAGAAATCAATATTCATTACCCATCCCTATAAAATATACTGTACATTCACCTCAGCTTTTAGATCTAGTAATTTAAAAATAATAAAATAATTAAAGACACACTGTGTGTAAATGTCTGATAAATCACTTTAATATTATCTTACATAGTATTACATTTATATAAATATTTTATATTATATTATTATTATATTTATAGTTCTACGGTGTCACTTTGTCTGTTTGGCTTTTATTTTGAAAAAGGCGCATTTTCTTCTTCTAATGTGTTTGTGACGCAAAAAACTTCCTGCCACTCTCTCCTCATAATGTGATGCTCACGTGTCGTCGGAAGAACGGTAAAACTGTTAAACATGTAGTTATTTTTCATGTTCTTCCCTTTGATTCTTGTAAAGAAAGTGTTCTCATTGTGATTTTATTATTTTGTATTGTTTGTACGTGTTATTTCTAAGACCTACGAACTGTGAGAGTGTCAAGAGAGCACGATAGCTGATGGTGGAAACTATTTGAATAGCGTCCTTGGATAGCGGAATGAGGTATGAAAGTGTGTCTAGTTTATTGTCATTAGAAGGGATTTTAAGGAAAAGAAATCTTACTACTTCATTTGTTTATGGTTAATTGCACATGTCGTCAATATACAAGCAATATCATCTCTGTGAGCAACCATATTGTATTTCATGTAAAAGCATGTGATATTTTTGTCATAAAGGCTTAAAAACATTTCATAGTAATATTGGTTGTTAGTTAAAAATGATTTGCATTGTGTGTAAACATGATTAATATGTGAACATTATTTATGTGCAATTATTTGTGAAACTACATTGAAGCGTTTTGTACTTCTGTTTATTTTGTAGTTTTCACGGTGTTCATGGTGCATGGTGGACGTTGAGAGGCATAAATAAATCGACACCCGTTTGAAACTCTCTGCGTCTTGATCAGTAAATCCAAGGGGCCGCTACACTGTGGAAGTCTTCAACCTTTATAATATATTACAGAAACCCATTGAAATGGTAGATCGACTTACAATAGGTTGAATGACGCGTCTGCCGTCTCCTGAAGGTGTCTGTATCGCTTTTACTTGCACTTTGTAACTTCAGGTTTCGGGTAGGAACCCGAGCACAAAAAGAACTACAAAATTCGACCGCATTACGGTGTACGTCACTTCCCCCACCACCCCAAACTACCCGCTCAACTTGCCGTCTGTATGTTTTCGTCAATGGCCAAACAACGGCTACAAGGAAGAAGGCAACGGTTTTATTGAAGGCAACAGAGGAAACTAAAAAAAGAAAAGGGGAGAGTGACAAATTAAAACCAGGGACGAGGATTAACACTGGTCCAGCTTTCGCTTCGCTCGCTGGCGTGAGCTAAAAGAGGAAGGGAGAAACCCAGATAAATTCATATAAGCAGTGTAGTATTTTCTTGTATTCCGGCCACAGCCGATGGTGGAATGAGTGTAATAAAATGCCCACAGCCCAGTGTTCATTTCGACACACAAACACAGCCCGCCTCAGTGCAGGGCTCGCATTAATAAAATCGACTCGTGTCAAATGTAACGTTACATTAAATGTAGTGAACGTGCCCACGACTCAGTAGTAAGTTACCCACAAACACTACACACCACATGTGTCATGGTTTCTGTAAAAATTAACCATCACAGATAACGTTACAGTCAGCTCAGGCCGACGGTGTTTTCAGCTCTCTCTCTCTCAGCAGACTGCTATAAGGCAATCGAGCGCGGCAAAGCTGCCCGGCCTGCCTCAAAAACTGCAAGCATACACAATCTAAAGACACGGGAGGTTGACCGGTTGACTGTTTGTTGATTTTAATTTGCGACAGTGCTGCGGCGCTTGTGGCCTCTAGGGACGCTAGACGTGAAAGTTACAGGTCGAGCGCCACTAGTGGCCAAAAGTTCCACGGTGTGGCTTTAAAAAAAAAGTATTTATGAATTGTTTTATGCACAATTCTATAGGTCAAGGTATGCTTAGGCTGCTGCAGTTTTTGGAATAACAAAAAAGTTTTGAGTTTTGAAACTTACAGGGTATTTTTTTTATAATACGTATAACAAACTCTTAAAGCCACAATATGTATTTTTTCTGCTTTAAAACTAGCAAATATAACTCTATTTATGTTATATATTTCTATCCCGAAATTATCCCGACAGTTTCCACCAACTTTCAAATACGGAGAAATTTGTAGTTTAATTCGAAGACACGGGACGTTTCTTTATTTCCGTTTCGTCGCCCGTCTATGGCGTCATAACCTTTGACTCCTCTATTTTCTCTAACTTCCTTGCGGAACCCGGCGAAACCGCCAAACACAAAGGGGAACACTGGACTACCGCCAATAAAACAAAGCAAAGAAAATGACCAAGAAAAAAAAGTAGTACGTATTTTTATGTGTGTAAATCACGTGCCCGCTCACTCTTAAAAGACACCCGGGTGCTGCTCGCACATAAAGCGCACATAAAAATATGACCCAAGAAGGGTTTGGGACAGGAGAAGCATGACACAGGTAAACATCGGGGTTGCATTTAAAGCTTCTCGACAAGCTAAATCTACAGAGAGATGCCGGATATCCGTATATTTTGTGAAATGATGATGTCATGCCATGAGCTGAGCTGGTTGTCATTGACAGCGACAACAACTCCCGTGAGCCCACGCTCTTTCCCGACGTCATCAAAGTACGTCTTTTGTAAAAAAAAAATAAAATAAAAAAAAAAGTACGTCTTTTGTTATTATTTAAAATGAGTGACCCCTGGTGGTCAAAAATAGCATACTGTGCGTTTAACTGTCAAAGGAACAAGGAACATTTGAATTCTCATTCTATGACCCCTTTAATGTCACCATCAGCCTTGCTGAAACGGCATTCTGGTTTATTAAATATTATTTAAATTTAAAGTCAATGAAGATCAGAGATAGGACATATACTCACTTTCCAACAGCGAAGACTGTAGTTGCTATGGTTATGTTTTGTTGTTTGTAGATTGAATCAATCAATATGGGATCAAAAGTTCCTTCCTGCACAACTGGGGCCAACCATGGTGCCAAGGGAACAACTTTACCATCTGGGCTGTTTTAAATGAGGATATTCACATAAATATAAATGAAATCCAAATCCAAATGCATAGAAGTATAAAATGATATATGTATAAAAGAAGAACTGTTTATGTTCATACCCGACTGCACTGGGCTGGCTGTAAGAAAGCCTGTAAAAAAGAAAAGAAAAAAAAGGCTTTTATTCCTCGTTTTGTAACGTCTGTAGTAGATGATTACAGTCGGCTGAACTTTGATCTTAACATCTAAAGCTCTTGATTGATTATATTATTGTTAAAACTCAGCAGGGCATTACACCAAAACCATTTCCCTGGTGGTTACCAGTGATGCGCGGGTTGATCCGAAATGAGCGGGTGCCTGCGGTCACTCGCGGTTACCCGCAGTTGCGGGTCATCCAAAAATGTTTTTAATGATATTCGGGTCGCGGTCGGTCGGGTCGTTTGAAAAAACATGCCAATTAAACCTTTGTATTTATATAGTAGGCTACTAGACACAATTTTCGATTAAATATACAGCCCTACACATTATTGGCTGAATAACTGGCACGAAGGTTCTGTACTGGTGATTCGAGAACAACTGTCCCTGTACGTTTGGTAGTACACAGTATCTATGCGCAGTATCAGCTGCTCGTGCTCATCACTTTTCTCAGCAGTGGCACCAACATGTCTCGGTTCAGTGATCTTTTGGAGTTACTGGAGTAAAATATAATTCAGGATATTGATTTATTTTGATTCGGAGGGACTGTCAGGCAGGCATGTCTGAAAGTGAGTAACTTTAGTAACTCGTGGATCATCAGCACTGACGCAAGACGTGAAATGTTTCGAACGATTCAGTTCGATTTAGTGTACTGGTTCGACCGGTTCACTAAAAAGAACCGTTTCAAAAGAACGATTCGTTCACGAACCGGCCATGTCTATGATCACTACAGTCTGCAGAGAGATGGAGGCGGCAAGAGAAAAGGTGAAGACTGGGGAGTGGAAGCTCCGCAAATACACAAATAGAAAGAGTAAGTGTGGGAGACATTTGCAGAAATAATGAAAGATGATGACCAAAGTGCTGGCTTTATTATGTGTAGGCCTACGTCTTCTTGCGATGCTGTGTTGTTACACGTCTATGGCCCAATGACGATACGATGAGCATGTACTACTTTTAAAAAAATGCGGTCAGGAAGCGGGTCGGGTACAATATTTTTTTACTTTTTTTTGCGGTCCGAGTTGCGGGCGGGTAGTTGAAAACGTCGGTCGGTTGTGGGTTGTTTATACATTGACCCGCGCATCACTGGTGGTTACATATCAACCTCTGCATTCAACTGAAAAAATTTAATGATAACGTTCAATGCTTTTAACAGTCCAATCAGTCCAATGGAAAGACGAGATGTCAGGCGGGTGACGTCATCGACCAGGAAACTATAAAGCACACCTGAAAACAGACCGTGTTTGCTTCTTTGCCTTTAGCAAGCGCTCTCTGTATACTGTCCCTGTCTATTTATTGTTGTCTGTCATCATTGAAAGCACAATATTTCAAAGATATATATATATAATTTATATATATTTGGGGATGTCAGCGTCCCCAAATTATGCTCCGAAGAGGGTCATAAAGCAGTCAGTTCGGGTTTTCCCTTCTGGTTCGCCGCTTCAGGGCACCGAGGTGTCTGCACATCTCAACGATCCTCCGAGAAGGGTTGTAGAACATCAGTGAGTCCCTTTAGTAGATTTTCTGGCAGCGTGGAAGCTACTGTCAAATATATCTCATTGGGTCCTGCATACAATAGAAAAGGGTTACATAATTCAGTCTGGTTCTCATCTGCCCAGATTTCTAGGGGTCCTCCCCACTGTGGAACCCAAGCAGGCTCTGGTTATGGAGCCGGAAGTACAGACTTTTCTATGAAAGGGGGCTATAGAAAGGGTTCCTCATCCCAGGGTTTTACAGACGTTATTTCATTGTTCCAAAAAGGATGGGTTGGGTCCTATTCTAGATCTGCACCAACTCAGAAACTCAAGTTCAAGATGCATACACTCAAACAGATCATGTCACAGATTCAGTCCAAGGACTGGTTTGTCACAATTAGGGTTGGGTATCGTTTGAATTTGAACGATTCTGATTCCGATTCTGATTCCTTGTTTCGATTCCGGTTCCTAACGATTCTCGATTCCGATTCTTTTAAGAGGCAGGGTCAAAAAAGTTTAGCTAACCTTGCTAACCAACGGTCTTTCTGAAGGAAATAGTCCTTTCTGAAGGAAATACTCCTTCTGTAAAAAATACTCCTTTTGTCACAAATTTTGCATTTTGCCGAGATTTCGTTATTTTTAGGAAAGTGAAGCCACACTTTGGATCGCCAACGTAAGCTACTCATGTTCGACTCGCGTGGTTATGCCAACACTTCCGGTAGACGCTTCTTTGTTGGTGTTGTTCAGCGGTTTCTTCTTCCGCTCGGCGAACTGTGAATATCGAAACTAGGAATCGAAATTTTAACTTTTGAACGATTCCGGGAAAAACGGAAAGTTAGTTCCGGTTCCAATCGATACTCGATTCTCGAAACCCAACCCTAGTCACAATAGACTTGAATGAAGCTTACTTCCATGTATCCATCCGTCCTCATCACAGGATCACAAGTTCCTGAGGTTCGCTTTCGGAGGCGAAGTGTACCAGTATCGGGTTACAAACGCGATGCCTGTGTGCCTTAGTCATGTGGAACAAACCTTGGTTCCTCGCCCAAGGCCAAGTGCTGGGGGCTTCTTGTCGACGCCTAACACTATTGATGGATGCTTCCCTCAGAGGTTGGGGGACGAACATGAATGGTCGCTCTGCAAACGGTCTTTGGCAGGACCATCTACTTTGTTAACAAAGTTGGCCAATTGGCACATAAATCGGCTGGAAATGATGGCGGTGTTTCGAACACTCAAGCCCTTCCTGCCAGACCTGAGAGGTCACCATTTACTTTGATGGTCTCTTATATCAACCATCAAGGGGGTCTGAGGTCACATCATCTTTGCAAACTGGCTCATCAGATCCCCCTATGGGCCCGAATTTGGTTCTCAGACCTTAGACGGCTCTCCGATGGCTGTCCTAAGCAGAGGGGACACATTTATCGCCCTCGGCCTCACTACTCCAATCTAGAGCTCACTCCCCGAGAAGACTGTATGCATTGAAATGAAAACTATTCTCTGCGTGTTGCGGAGAACGCCAACTGAATCCTGTTAACTGCCCTGTTGGTACAGTACTTATACACAAGTTTCTTTCGCCCCATGAGGCCTTGATAATACTTATCTGGTCTGCATCCTAAACTGAACAGGTTTGGGTGAATGACATTATTTTGGTCAGGTTTTATGTTACAGTTAAAACTGACAAAGATTCTTCCATGATACAGTATGTGTGTGTGTGTGTGTGTGTGTGTGTGTGTGTGTGTGCGTGTGGAGAAGACGTGCATGAAAAGAGAACTAAGATGAACTTAGACTTAAGACTTTTCCCGGTTTTCCCTGAACTAGATTGGATCCGAAATTTTTATTTATTTTATTTTTATGTTTTTACATTACTCACGATCAAAATGAACTGAGCTTTACAAAAAAGAAACGATTTTCCCTGAACTAGATTGGATCCGACATTTTTATTTTTTTATTTTTTTTATTTTTTTACATTACTCACGATCAAAATGAACTGAGCTTTACAAAAAAGAAACTGAACTTTAATACACAAAAACTGAACTTTATTACATAAACTGAAAAGTATTGTAGACCTTGAAGTGAATTCAATCTGTTGCGGTATCAAATTCTTCATATTGATTAGTGTTTTATCATTCTTTGTTTTGACGTGATTGTGTTTGCCTTGCCTTTTTTTTCTCTCACTGTTCCAACTGGTCCAGTATACACTAGTCACAATAAACAGCAAAACTGTTGAAGGAAGTTTTGTACTCACTCACCCATGTGGTGATTGCAACTGGTGCTCTTTTTGGGGTCTAAGAAATAGGAGAAACAGCAGTGAATTTTTGTGTTCTGTAATATAACTTTTGTTTTGTTTGTATGTCTTTATTGGATGCATGTGCAGGCTTACTGCACAGTATATATCATTAGTGCTTGCAATAATGCATGCATTTGCCAGGTAGAAGAACATGTGTGACAATGTGTGAGCTACTAACACATTACAACTAACATACCGTAATAACTGTTGGGTGTGGTAAACCTCTAATGGTCCAAATAACCAGTGTTGGGCAGTAGTTACAATGGATACAACTTAGTGACGCTACTAGTTAACTCCATTTCTCAGTGAGGCATGCATATATACTAAACAATATTATAAATACAACACTTTTGTTTTTGCCACAAATTTTCATGAGGTGAACTTTTTGTATGTACACAAAAAGGTCCGTCAAAATAAAAATATTGTTTAACCTTCGAAGAAACTTTAGCTTAAATCATTACATTTTAAATCATCGGTTATTACAAACCGTTAAAATGGCCAAGAAAATTAAAAGAGAAAAGATACATATTTCATAGTGGCCTAATTTAAAAAAAAAAAATGTATTTAATACATTATTGCTAAATTCTACAAGTTTCACGATTTAAATTAATTAGACATGCTTTTTGATTACTAAAATTGAATCTAATAAAATAAAATAAAATGAAGTTCAAAAAATGAAATATATATTTAAAAAATATCTCTGTACTCAGTGTCAAATGCAGAAAAGTTCATTCTTGCATTCATGCATTCATGACCCCCGAGGCTTGATTACTGTAATCCTTTACAGGTCATTAGACAGTAATCAAGCAAAAGTGTCCAATAACAGGAAAATAGCAAAGATAAAATACGTAGTATGAAATGAGGACTTTTTTTTTTAAATCACTTGCAAATATAGTGTAGGCCATGTGCATAAATGTATGCTTCTGATTGTGCTTTTGTAAGTGTCTGATTTGAGTGTTTATGGGTGCATTAAGAGTGGCAGTACTTACTTAAAGCAGGATCTTTCCTCTTTATTTCTGAAACATAAATAGCCTATGGTTATAATGCTGAAATACTGCATAGTCACAATACATTCCCCTAATTCAGAAATAAGGTATTACTACGGTGGACGAGCATGTACAAAATAAAACACAATTCCAAAAACAAAACAACAAATTCATAAACGAAATGACTTGTGAAAAAAGACTTGAGAAAATACCGTAGGCCAACAGCAGACTGAGGGAGTCCATTGGCGTGTGCAAAGAGCTGTCTTGTTTTCATATCACTGCGTTGCCATGGCACGAAATACAAATGGAGGGCAGGAAGTGAAAGCACTATATAACAAACTCAAAATGCCTGCGTTTTGAGTCATTCATGGTTACTTGAATCGATCAAACCACAAGGAGTTTTATCGTGTACCAAAAGTTGTTGTTCATAAGGGGGGAAATGCAAGAAATTGATCAAAAAACTCTGGAAAAACAGTTTGTAAACCTATGTCTGCGGTCAGGAAGAGCCGAATGGGATAATGCTCGTGTGTGTAACGTTAGTGATCACTTCGTCAATACAACTTAAGTGACTGTTTGTGTAACGCGTAACATTTCCGAACTTTGTAAAGTCAAAATATGTCTGTAAGACGAGGTAGTTGCTGATATCTACAGCCTTTCAATTCAGTTGAAAAATCGTTCCTCTTCATAACGTAAGGATCACGTCCAACATATGTTTGATTTTTTGTTTATTTCTTTCTCTTGTAATAGCGTGTAAAATAGTACAGTACGGACGGCTTTCCCCCATCTCGTCCACTGCGCTCTTCACTCCCTGCCCTCCATCTGAATTCCGCGCGTCATCATAATCACGTGACTGAAACCCCGCTATTTAACCGGCTAATTTAATGCGATTAGAACAAAAACATTTTATATTAAAATCTTCCTACCATCTGGTTTGGTCGATCTGGTAAAGTGGGAGAGTGGAATGTAGAGCTAAGAATAATAGATATTAGATATTGCCCCTATATCTGACATTTTAGAGACATATTGTTGCATTTCTAATAGTTTTTTTTGGTTGTTGTTGTTGTTGTTTTTTTTAGCAAAGTGACATACTCGATAATGTCAGTTTGCAGCCTTGCATATCATAAAAAACCCCCAAGAATTATCGTAGACGATTCAGCTCTGATATTTACGCATGCACACAAGATTTATATATATATATATATATATATATATGAAGAGTTCAGATGCAAAAGCCTCTAAGTGCCATTTGAAATTTTCTTCTAAAATGATCATTTTTTATCAAGCCTATATTTAAGTTCAGTAATTTCACTTAAATGGCAATTAAGATTACCTATGAATTGCCATTTAAGTGAAATTACTGAACTTAAATATACAAGCTTGATAAAAATGATCATTCTAGAAGAAAATTTCAAATGGCACTTAGAGGCTTTTGCATCTGAACTCTTCATATATACACTGTAAAAAATATCCGTGATTTTAACAGTAAAAGACTGTAAAAATGCTACAGTGCAAAACTGTTAATTGGTTAACAGAAAGTTTCCGTAGTTTATACGGTAAATAACTGTGATATAATTTTACAGTAAAATACCGTTAAATTTACAGTTTTTGAAAGTGAAAAAGAACAAATTGTTGTATAGTTTACAGTGAAAAACCGTAAATTGACATTCCCACAATTCCCTGTGTGACACTTCACATTTGATGTATTTTTGTTGAAATAACTATAGTTCCTCATAGTTTTATTGTTTTTTTTTCCTCATAGTTTTATTGTTTTTTTTCCTAATCAGTTATGTACATTAAGGTTTTATGTTACATTTAATGTTGTTAAATTAATGTTTATTGCATTTTTAAATTTCATGTGTGTTACCATGATGGTGTTTAATGTTTGTGTGAATGAAACTGTGCAGCTTCGTATTACTTAGATAAGTAATCACTTATGATGAGCTGTGCTCATGTAACTTTCATCACTGCTGTGATGATTGATGGTTGTCAGTGTATTACAGTGGTATAAAACAGATATCAATAAGTTGGTAAATCAACATTTTATCAGAAAATAAAATACGGTTTATTACTGTAAATTTTAAGTTAAGTCTGTAAAACCATTAACGTTCCTACCGTTTTTAACGGTAAAGTTCTGGCAACCACAGCTGCCGTTTCTTTTACCGTAAAATTTACGGTTTATTTTTTACAGTGCATATATCCACCTTTTTCTGCGCCCGTTTCCCATGATTCATAGCGGATTCAACTGACTTGACGGTTTCTACTTCCTGCTGTCTTTTTTTCACTAATTTCATCTTCAATCAATGTTTCATCAAACAATCGCCTGGTTTTAATAAATAATAAGTATATAGTAAACAATAGATGATCATGAAGGAGGTGACAGCACGCAAACTGGACTTTGGTCTCATGAATGAAACTTGTTAACGTAACTCGTTAACGAAACTCGTTAACATGAACGTTAACGTTATGCCTTATGTCAGGCCTGAGAAAAGACTATGCATCTTTGAAAGCAGATGGCGGTGTTTCGAACACTCAAGACCTTCCTGCCAGACCTGAGAGGTCACCATTTACTTGTCTGCGTTCGCGTTATCACCGAGGTTTGTTTACATTCCGTTGCATATGTCTATGCCGGTGTAGCTCAGTAATGGCATCGCCACAAGATGGCAGCCTACACAGAACGCTCGTCGGATTCGTCTATATGCCTACTTTCCTACTATGTAGTAGGCGAAAACAGTACGTGAAATAAGCAGTACGTTTGAAATATCAGCATTCATAAAAGATTAGGCGAGAAGTTCCCGGATGGCTTACTGCTTCCGCCCAGATTTTTGAGTTCTTTTCCATGGGTACTCATGATACTCATCTATCCCAGGATGTCACGCGAGAGGATACGTCAATATCAACATCGCGGAGATCAGCGACGCGGGGGTTTTCAAATGTGAGTAAACACGGTTCCATTGTGTTTAAATGGGATGTGTTAAACTACTTTAGAGTAAACGTTTTAACTGTTGAAGGTCTAAAGGAGTTAGATATAGTTATAATTTGGCTGTAAACACATGTTTTATTATGTGTAGCTAGCTAACAGGGGAGCTCCAGTAACCGTAAAGTTACGTTTCTAAAGTGGATTTACATAACCATACATCTTAAAGGGGAAATAAAGTGAGTCAAGTTGACATGATTTACAAGATGGATTTCCAATATAATCAACAATTATATAAGAAACATTACAAATGTAAACATTTAGAAGAAAAAAAGAAAAAACTTTTTATCCTTCGCCGCCATTGTGCAGTTGACGTCACGGGGTTGGTTGGCTCAAGTTTAACAGGCTCTGGGCATTGAAAATCGCGACATCAAACTGTGTTTACACCAGTGTTTTGACCGCGAACGACTAATGTTAGGTACAGTTATTAGACAAAAAGACGACGTCTATATTATAGAGCTGGCTCCCAAGTGGCAAGGACCTGCTAAAGTTCTGTCAGAACTTAATAAAGTCAATTACCGAGTAAAAATGGTCTAGGAGCCATATAATGTTGAGATCTATTATGTAGAGAAGTTAAAACCTGTTTTTGGGTCCGTCTAGCCTTTTTATTTAGAAGGGAGGGGTATGTAACAGTTCCAGAGTGTTTCCCAAGGGGGTAATCCACCATCCGGAAACTGAAGTCTCCCCGGGGGCCGCCATTGGCCTTCACCTGTGGTTAGAATTCCATTGACTCCCATTCATTTTGGCGTCACTTTAACCGAGAATAACTTTACATCTGAGGCGTTTAAAGACTCCATTTGTCCATTGTTTATTTCTGAAGAAACACGACAATGTATAAAAGGCTCCATTACCTTGTATCTTACGTTATGGCCCTGTAGGAGCAGTTTTTGTAAAAAACATTTCGCACTTCCGGGTAGGCTTCATTTTTCAAATTAGAATGTTTCCGCTTGGTCTCTGGACATGCCTTCCACACACTCCAAAGTTTGATTGACACATGTTGGACTGATCGTTTTGGGGAAATCTTGAAAAAACTGCCGGGAGACGCAGTATCCAGATTACCGTGAGGACCCACAGTGTTCCGGACGCTGAAAATTTCTAATCACTGTGTTTCAGACAGTAAAGAAGGAGTATTTTCTAATATAAAACACATACATTGATTTTACCAACTATAAGTTGGTAAAATAATTGTATAAGTGTCTATACACTCTTTTAATCAACAATTGCTCATGTGAGCATTATATTTTAACGTTAACGTTATATTTAAGAATTTTAAATATTTACATATTTTAAATCCCTTAAAAATTACAAATATTTGCAAATTGTAACACATAATTATTTTATAAGACCGTAAGAATGTTTCTTGTCATTTTCCGGTGGGTGATCATGTTTTCAGAGCCGTTTTCTACGGAGGTATTCTCCCCTCTTCCCTTTGTCCGGCCGGAAAACCTTCCCCCCACCATTTTCTGAACAGTCATTGGTGTACGTTAGAAACTCACGTTGATTTCTTTGAAACGACTGGCTCTGGAAGCATAGGGTTTGTCAGAATCGAAAGAGGAGGCGTCAAAGATAGATATATATATGCCGTGACCTGAAAGTATTTATTTGAGTTTGCGAGAAAAGGTCAGTGTCTGGAACACAGTGAATCTACGTTACAAGTTTATTTGGCTGAGTGAGCTTTTTGCTGTAATGGGACTGTGATTGCAAGTGATCTAACTTTTAGCTGCACTAACAATTGAATTGGTCATCGCTGGATTACAGGTTCATTATTTCTTCTATTGCACACACATTATCCATATTGTCATTTTATGATTTTGTGTTACTTTACATTGTATGGACTGAACTAATATTGAAGGACTCATTGGATCGGGTTTTGGGTGATTGTATTATTGTTTTATGATGTTATATTATATATATATATATATATATATTTAATGAATTCATTTTGAGCTGCTATTTGGCAATTATATTTGGATGTGATTCCCCCCTTATTTTTTGGTTTCATTTTGTTCTTTGATATCAAACGAGTTGTTACATTCTCAATATAGTTTTTTATAAATGTACTTATCACACACAGTTGAAAAACACTCACCTGGTTGAGATGGAGTTGGAGGTGTAGCCAAAATAAATAAGTCTGTGATGAAACACCATAACAGATCATGAATTATAAAGTGAAGCAGATCATATATTTTCTTAATTGAATTATCAGATTTAAAGGGCACCTATTATGGAAAATTTACTTTTACATGGTGTTTGAACATAAATGTGTGTTGGCAGTGTGTGAGCAAAACCACCCTAGAATGATAAAAATCCATCCAGTAGTTTTTTTTACAATCTCAATAAATCATATGCACTGCCTCAGAACGAGCTGTTCTGAGATCCAGCTCTTTGTGACGTAGAACGGGAGACAGGGGGTTGATTTTGGTTGTGATTTTTAAAAAATAATTGTCATAAATAAAAATGTGAGAAACCATACTTTGAAGATATTTGATTTTCAGTTTTAGATGGCAATGGTTGATTTGTTTTTCTAAAAAAAACTAAATGCCACATAAAAATGTACAAACACATACTTTGAAGACCATAACTAAGAAACAATAAGACGTAATATGAAAAATTGTTGTTTATTACACATCTGCAGATAGAGACAGACTGATCATTCACTGTAGCTGCTACAGCATTTGCGGCAGATCAGAAACGACCACAGCGGCGTATTTGTAATGATTAGACACAGCTTCCACCGTTGAATGTATATATCAGTGTCCTTCGTGTCAAATATACATTTCGAACTAATAATTGTTCCTAGATTAACAAAACCTGCGGCGCTCGTTGAAATCCTATTATAAACATAATCCTCTGATCATTCGGACTTGTTGTTTCCAGCCATTTCGGCGCGTGACATACGTCACTCACGACACCCCGTTAGCGATTGGCTATGGCAGATCGTGAGTGACTTTGGGCAGATCCAATAGATTTGAACTTTAATAGTGAACCCGCCTACAAGGAAGGAAACGTTTCTCAATGGAGCGGTTCCAGACTCTATGTGGAAATGAAATGAACTAGAGTCTGTTTGAACCAGGCTATGTTATCTCTACGCTTTTTGAGCTATCCGCGTGTATCCGTGTTATACACCATTAACGTCCGCGTCATTCTGCGTGTCTGTACACGCAGTCAAATCTCCAGTCAAAAATGCCATTAACCCCAGTGACGGTTAAGTTTAGGGATGGGGTTGAGGTAAGTCATATCTTTTTTTTTTCCTAGGATAGTAAGGGAACAGTCATAAATGCCATTAACCCCAGTGACGGTTAGGTTTAGGGACGGGTTGAGCCGAGGTAAGTCATATATTTATATAACGTTAAGTCAACGGCGTTCATAAACACGGTGAAAGGCGATTATGCATCTTGATAGCACGCCAAAAATGCAAATACGAATTGGCGTGGCATACACACGCTACTTCATGAGATCAGTCTGTCATATGCATAGACAACAAGACATTCTAACAATAATACTAATTGTTTTGCATGGTTTACTGACATGAAATTTGCATACAGAACACGGTGTTCCTCACCTGTCAAGTAAAACACATGCAAGATCGGCATCTCTTTCTAATTCGAGTTTTTCACGTTGAAAAAACTCGAAAGATTTTAGTTTGTACTTGCAGGATATTTTTGGCATCTTTGTATGTAAAACATACTGTATTTGTTTGATAGGTACGTTTTTTATTTGCAGAACAACATGCATTAGTTTGTGAGTGATGTTTTGTATTTACAAACCACACTGAGTTTGTTTGTGAATCATTGGGTGTGTGTGTGAGGTTTCGGCACATAATTCGCTTCATATTTGCTGTACTACATGCATGATGTGTGTGAAAATGGTTACACAAACACACACACAGTTTTGCTTTTCCGCTCAATTTCCATAGTCGTAATGATTTTACACTGTACAAACTTTATATTAACCTAACCTAAACCTACCTATGATGCAAAACCTTCTGCATTTTTACATTAAAAAAAATAACTTTAGTATATTTATGAATCCATTTCCCTCGTCGGGACCGCTGGCTGGTCCTCACAATGTAGGTTATTTCAGGTTTTACTATCCTTGTGGGGGATATACACACATGACAGGTTAGCCCCATTTAATTCTCTTTCTAAAAAACATATTGATATGAAGACAATTGCAATTTCCATTCATGCTGAATTTTACACAAAAATTTTACTCGAAGCTATGCCACTCAACATAAAATCACAAAAAGAGATGTTAGGCACAGTCACCACTCTTTACGCTGTATAGAACATTCACTCTAACATCTTAATTTCATTAAAGAAGAAAGAAAAAGAAAAAAACATGCTTAATAATGCAAAGTGTAATAGTTTGTAATTATTTGAAATATTATGATGTATTTTTAAATATGAAAACCTATGATTTCCACAGTTTAGACCACAAAGACTGCTGTTAATTAGACTGCCTAATTAGACTATCATGTGAACAGTTTTTTTTTGTATCAGTACAAATTAAAATGCCTGTCCTAAACAATTTGATTATTGATTTGTTTTAGTGTAAGATCCAAACACTAAAAGTAATAGTAAGGCAGCTACAAATGACAAAGTAGTAACTACGTACCCAATTATTGAGAGGCCAGCCAACACGAGCATAAAGTTATGTACATTTCGAAGGAGTTTCATTTTTCCTGTAAGATATTAGGTTTTGTGTCCTTATTCACTTGAAGAACTGAACGTCCCACAGAGAAAGGAAGCAAGAGAGAGAGATGCTGGTAGGTGCGTGTTGCTGACTGTATAAAACAAGGGTATGGCAGGTTTTTTTTTTTTTTTGACTAGCAAGTTGAATTCTTCAATGATGCATCGTACAGTGGTGTAGTGAAGCATTGTGTTACAGTACATTGTTGTACGGGAAACGCACACCAGGTTGAGCTGGTTGTTTTTCATTTGTAATGTGAAAGTGGTACAGGTTTAAAACACAAGCCCAAGTTCTTTTACAGGAATATTTTACATACGCACATTACGCAGTGATCCAGATTAACCCTTAAAGGATTAGTTCACTTTTGAAAAAACTTTTACTAATAATTTCCTCGCCTCCACGATGTCATCCAAGATGTCCACGTCTTTCTTTCCTCAGTCGAAAAGAAATTAAGGTTTTTGATGAAAACATTCCAGGATTTTTCTCCATATAATGGACTTCAATGGGAAAGGTCAAAAAGACAGTTAATAACAGTTTCAGATGCAGCTTCAAATGTCTTTAAACGACACCAGACGATGAATAAGGGTCTTATCAAGCGAAACAATCGGTTATTTCAAAACTTATTCCAAAAATGTAACTTTTCTAAGGACAAATGCTAGCCTTGCTCAACTCTGTGAGGCGCGTTTGTAACGTCACGTAATACGTAATTACATTCAAAAAGTCACGGGCGACGTAGCCGGAAGTACAGAATCAAAATCGTCCGACATCGTTGTTTTACCTTTTAACTCCTTGTTTTGTAAACGGCGTTTGAGTTAGTTTGCACGTTCAACTTATGCGTTCAACTTGTAAACACTCGGACTCTGTACTTACGAAATTAAGAGTAATCCCTTTAATTAAATTACAATATTTAGATTACTTGGTAATTAATTACACCCAACGCCTCTTTTTGTCTGGCGCTGTTGCCATGGTGACTCATAATATCTGCGCTCCATTGATAATGGCTTTTTATAGTTGTGGTGCAAAAATGAAAATTAAGTCATTAATTACTCACCCCCATGCTGTACCACCAACCCCGTAAGACCTTCGTTCATCTTCGCAACACAAATGAAGATATTTTTGATTGAATCTGAGAGCTGGATCAGTCCTACATAGACTGCCTAAGGCAGTGGTTCTCAAACTTTTTAGCCAGCGACCCCTAAACTAACATCAAGAAGAACTTGCGACCCACACAGCATACACAAACAATAAACAAACAAACAAGTGGTTTTAAATCCACTTCCTATGGACCTTGAATAAAACATAAAAAAGGTATCATGCAATTCTTATAACTTTCACTGCAAGTTTATTTTCCACAATTATGAGAAAACAAGTCAGAATGTACACCCAATTTGTAGATAAAAAAAAAAAATCGCAATTATAAAATGTTTTCTTATGTGGCGGAAATTTGTGCTTCCATAACTTCAACTTTACTGTACCTTTCAGTGGGATGGGTGCACTTGTTTTTCGGTGCACAAAAGATTAATCTGTGGCCTGATGTTGGATACGGCTACTCGTCCTCAACATCAAGACGTGATCTGTATTTATTTTTCATGTATGTGACAGCGGAAAAACTCTTCTCGCACAAATACGTAGATCCAAACGGAAGCAGTACATCCATAGCCACATCGGATAACTCTCTGTATTCTTCTGCCACTGCGATCCAAAATTCAGGTAGTGTGGAATTGGAAAATAAAGTTTTTAATGTTCGATCACTGGACAGCTCCAGCAAAGCATCTTCCAGTTTTGTGGGGAGATTAGTCCTAGTTTCAGTGAATGGTTGTCGTATCCAGTCATACAGTTCTGGTTGCGTCTCTTTTGGAAAATACTTCTGGAATTGTTCCAAAAGGCAGTGGAGATGACCAGTGATGTGTGTTTTCAAGTTCCCAAGACTCAGTCCATTCTCCGCCAGACGTTCATCCAGCTCAGGAAACATCTCCACATTACCTTGTTCAACTCGCTCAGCCCATCTTTCCAGCTTTTTCACAAATGCATCAATTTTCTCATTCATTGTCAAGATGTTTGTGTTTGGACCTTGTAATGAAAGATTAAGCATGTTAAGCCTTTCGAATATACAGGCCAAATAAGCAAGTTTTGATAACCAATCTGGATCTTTCAGGTGGTGCGCGAATTCAGATTTAGATTCTTTCAACAACGAGTGCACTTCGTCACGCAGTTCGTAAAGCCGGCCGAGTGCCTTCCCGCGAGATAACCACCGGACTTCGGTATGAAACAGTAGCGCTTCGTGCTGCGAGCCCATCTCATTGCAAAGGGTGGCTAGCAGTCTACTGGTTACTGGACGTGACTTTATGTGATTTACAATTTTTATTGCACTTTTGAGAACACTGTTAAGCTCACTGTCAAGTGCTTTGCTAGCAAGAGACTCACGGTGAATGATGCAGTGCGTAAACTTAACATGAGGAGCCACTTCTAAAACCTTTGCCTTCAGTCCCTTATTTTTACCTACCATTGCACCTGCACCATCAGTACATACGCCAACACAGTTATCCCATGAAAGTCGCATCTCTTTTAGTCTGGTGTCCAGCTTGTTGAAAATGTCACTGCCTGTACAAGTCCCCTCCAGCACTGAGCAGAAAAGCATTTCCTCGTGCAGTTTTCCATCAAATGTGTATCTGATGAATGCCAGCAACTGAGCAGAGTTAGACACATCTGTAGATTCGTCGAGCTGTAACGCATATTTCTTTCCATTTAACCTATTAATCAATTGACTCTTTATGTCTTTTGAAATATCATGAATACGGCGAGCAATCGTGTCATTCGACAATGGGACAGTCATAAGCTCACTTGCAATTTTCTCGCCATGCATGGCCCGACACATAGCCACAGCTGCGGGCTTTATCAAGGTTTCACCGATCGAGTGTGGCTTTTTGGACTGTGCTATCAGGTATGCCACCTCATAAGATGCCTTCAGAGCATTAGCGGTAATTTGGGTTTGTTGTGCGAGTGTGCGTTTTTGATTCTGTAATTCCTTCTCTTTTCTGCGAAAAAAGTCTATAGGTTTTTCAACACAAGCAGGGTGTCTTGTCTCCAAATGTCTCTGCATTTTTCCTGGCTTCATACTTTCATGGGCAAGCACTTCTGAACAGATTACACACTGAGGATGGTCCACGTCGTTGACAGTAGAGCAAGTGAATCCATACTTTATGAATTCCTCTTGATATTTCCGACGTTTCCTACATTGGTCAGAAGGGGTCTTGCTCTTGTGTTTAGTAGATGTACACGGTTCAGATGACTCAGGCAGACTGTCCACAATTTCCTCAACTTTTTTAACCTTGCGAATTACAAATTTATCCATTCTTGAAGTTGCAGTTTCCACGTGCAGTTGCGTGCGCTATTGATAACAAGCGATCAGTCGCCACACGGTGACGTCATATCTTAGAGTCAAGAAATATATATATTTTTTTAATTGAAACCTTCTAATCACTTCAGTCTTTAAAAATAAGAAAATATTAAGAAAAATATTAGTTGTACTATTAATTTTTCAGTATTGAAAAATATTTATTGTAATCTGAAAATAAATAAATTTTTCAAACCAACTCGCGACCCATTGAAATCATTCCGCGACCCCCAGTTTGAGAACCACTGGCCTAAGGAACTGGCTCTTGACGGCCCATAAAGTCATTAAAGAAAATGTTTAAATATTCCACGTGCCTACAGCGGCTCAATTATAAGTTTATCAAGCGACGAGACTACTTTTTGTGCGAAAAAAAACATAAAAAACGACTTAATTTGACTATTCTATTACTTCCTTATGGGCGAATGCGTGAGAACTGAGACGAGACCGTTCTTCTTCGACTACTTTTTGTTACCGGCTGCTCACCGCTTAGGAGTATTACCGCCACCTACCGTATAAACCTACCTTTTTTTTTACTTTACAATAAACAGAATTTTGCACTGTACAATTTCCAAATTTGCAAACTTCATATACTGTAAGTGATGTTGAACTTGGTCATCTAAACATGAAATCTGTATGACACTTTTTATAAGAAGTATAAAAAAATGACACAATGTGTATAAATCCTATATGACTTTAATTTGACTAGCATATAATTCAATAGAAGAACTTTAAATGACTTGTATATATATTGTGTGTTTTCTCAACACTATCTCACGACCAATTCGTACGAATTCGACGCATGATTAAAAAGTGTCTAATTCGTACTAATTCGTACGACCTCACTCGTACTAATTCGTACGATTTGTCTAAACCCACGTGATGGTTAAGTTTAGGGGCGGGGTAAGGGGTAGGTCATTCGTACGAATTCATACGAATTGGCCAATTCGTAAAATATGTACGAATTAGCAAAATCGTATTAATTCGTACGAGTGAGGTCGTATGAATTGTTACGAATTAGCCACTTTTTAATCATTCGTCGAATTCGTACGACTTGGTCGTGAGATCGGGTTGGTTTTCTACAAATACCATAAACCATTCCATACTTTTGTCATGTACAACTCATATAAGACTTCTACAGTATTCATATATGACACAGAAATCCCCTGTAAGTTGTTTGTGTGCTATTTAAGGGGCCATAATCGGTCTGATTTTGTATAGGACATGTATTGGTCTTACATGAAACGCATAAGGTAATTCTGCCCACTTTAAGTTAGGAAGATATATGGTTGCTGTATATGAACCATGCTGTTTTTTTTTTAATATGGGTGTGGATGTCCTCAGTCAGCTAAACCCCGCAAAGATCAACAAGCACATGTTTTTTTTTACTTCTAACCTTACTGTGAGTGTAAAGTTATAGTTAGCCCGTTTTATAATCTTTTAGGTTATGATTTCGGTTCTCATACCGGTTGTTGATATACGCTAGCACACGCTGTTCCTGGCGGCACACCAACACTGTTTCCATAATCAAACACACCTGATTCAACTCATCAGCTCATTAATCCATCTATGAGCTGATGAGTTGAATCAGGTGTGTTTGATAAGGGAGACAAAGAATACGCGCAGTGTTGGTGTGCCGCCAGGAACAGGGTTGGGAAATAATAACGCTAATAACGATTATAGAAGTGAATAGAGACCTACCCAGCTTTGCATGAATGGTAAATGGACAAATGAAACAACATGAAACTATTTTATAAGAAACAAAATGTGATCTCACTTGTGTCTTATAGGATAAATGAAGAGTTCAGATGCAAAAGCCTCTAAATGCCATTTGAAATTTTCTTCTAAAATGACAATTTTTATCAAGCTTGTATATTTAAGTACAGTAATTTCACTTAAATGACAAATAATAGGTCATCTTCATAGCCATTTAAGTGAAATTACTGAACTTAAATATACAAGCTTGATAAAAATGATCATTTTAGTAGAAAATTTCAAATGGCAAACTTTATATATTGTTCCCTTATTGTATTATTATACAGGAGCTCGGGCGACCCATTATACAACATATCATTTTATGATTATCCAAAGCGACTTATAGCCTAAATGAGGAGTTTTTTTATGCATTTGAAGACGAAAAGTAAAGTCACGAACGCAATTCTTTCTTCCTTTTTTCTTTACAGCAAGATGATGTTATAGGTGATCGTTAAATAAAGTACAGAATTGTTTATTATTGGTGTTTTGTCTATTCTTATTTGTTTTGCTTCGCATTCAAAATATCAAAAAACAGGTTTTGCAATGCTATAGCATCGTAATGTTAATAAGACGACCATTATTGGTTGAACCGAAAGAAAAATTGGAATTTTAATTTAAAAAAAAAAAAACATTGTAGCAATATAATATCACATACTATTTTTCAGAAGATAGTTCAATGTGTAATTGTATTCCTTCCATCAGTAACACAATGAGGGTTTTTTTTTTTTTTTTTTTGGCATGCATTTAGCAGGGAACGCAAATATATATATATATTTTTGGATAACTAAATAAAACGAGACCGTATTGTTTTCAATTGCATTTGGATAAGGGTGCGCTGTCTCGAAAAAAACGCGGGACTCTAGGGGACTGTAGATGCTCCGACTCGAGTCTGCAGCTTCATAATATTGCTGCTGGCTGCTGCACTGCGTTGACAATGGATACACAAATTAAGGATAATTTTTGGCTTCAATATCTCGAAAGGATGAATCTTTCCCGTAGCGTAAGCTAACTCACGCAATATGAGAGAACCTTTCGTAAGCGAAACTGATATAACTAATAAGTGGTGGGAGTTTCCGGTTAGGGAAACTGGAGCAAGAGAGTGTCCCAGCAGAATGGTTTTATTCAGATTATTCCTGCATGAATGAAATATTACAGGTTTACTCATCAGGTATGTGTGGTCTACAATGAACAGAAAACAAAATACAATATACATTTGCAAGTATAAACAGTATTACAGATAGCATAAATAATTTAGCTTATATATCTGAATTATACTTCAGAACATAAACAACATATATCATATTACATTTTTTAACCCAACGTTTGGGTTTGTCCATATTTGACCCAAAGTTTGTGTTAAAACAGCCTAGCATTTTTAGAGCGTTCTGTTTGGTCTGTAGCATATACGAAAACTTCGCGGTTAACATAACGTTGTTGTCAAACCTCTCTGAAATCACTCTTTTTAATATTTATTGATTATAACTTCTTATTCAATAAACCAAACTCCAGTGTTACTCGTTCGTCCACCACCACAAATTGCTTTCTAATCTGTGGGAAACACTGGTGAGTTTTCTTCATTGTTGTTTCTCCACAGTTGACATCCGGAATAAAAACACGGACATCATTTTTGTTGTTTATGTAGAATAAAGCCGATTCAGAACGATAGGTTTTTGCTGTTGTTTTCAGAAAAATCCTCGCTCGCCATGTTTGACACATTAGCGCCGCTCTGTGGACGCAAGCGGCATTGCAAACTCTTTGAAATCTTTTGTTAGTTTTCTAACCCCCATTTTTTTTTGAGTATTCAGCAAGGGACTGTCTCGTACGGTCTACATTCGTGGAAATAATATTTTTCCTCTTTGTATTTTTTTCTAAAAACATAAATTTTCCCGTGTTTGAAAATGGAAGAGACTTGCTAACTTTAAACAGGTTATATGTGATTACCCTGCCATACCTGGTCCAACGCCAGCCCAGTTCTGCAGCAGCGAGGTAATATTAAAATATTTGGGTCGTGAATCTCTCTCAGGTATGTTGATTGACATGAGGAAAACTATCTGATGTGAAAGTAAAACTTATTATGGACTGTTGTTGAGTGAACTAGTTCTGAATATTTGAACTGTTGTTTATTTGTTTCTGTTTGTCTTGATTATTGCTGCAGAAACGAAAGAGACTGAACAAAAGCTAAACTGAAGCGTTATTTCTGTGATTGTATTTTTTTGAGTCATTAGTGATGTGAAACAAGGGTTTATTTGTGGCACTTACTTATATTATCTTATTTTATTTTATTGAACATTTAGAAAAATAAATCCACAACTTCTGTCATTTTGGATAGGGCATTTCTCCTGTCTTGTAGGCTGGTTGGTAGTAGGAAAAAGGTTAATCACATTTTATTACACTCTTGGAAAACAATCTTGTACACTTTAACTCCTGGCGCTTCATTTTCACCAGTCTTTGCTAAAAAATAAAGCATATTTTATCAAGGCAGATTAAAACATACTGAAAATAATAAGTACAGGAATTAATAAGATATAGCTTTAGAAATACTCAGCCCTACATTGTAGTGAAATTTCCTGCTACATATACAAAAAAAAAAAATAAAAAAAAAAAATAATATATATATATATATATATATATATAGTCTTTTCTCAGGTGTTTCTCAGCATGAGAATGTCCAAATGAAATGAAATGTATATTTTCTAAAGCTTTATAATGTGTTCTATCAAACGATACCTATCCTCTGAATCTCCTCGTTATAGTTTAATGTTTGAGGACTAAATAAAAAGGATACCTTCGTTCCAAATGCTGTAACTTTTGATTACTTTTTGTAGTCCCAAAAATTTTTAAATCATATGCAGCTCACATTTGGGAACTTCATCAAAAAAGACTTTCCTCCTATACCATATTTCATTCCTGAGTCATTGCATGTCAAAGAAGAAAGATATGCAAATTCATGATGTGTGTGTGTATATATATATATATATATATATATATATATATATATATGTATGTGTGTGTGTGTGTGTGTGTATATATATATGTGTGTAATCTGTGTATATATATGTGTATATATGTGCGTGTGTGTGTGTGTATATATATATTTATATATATATATATATATATATATATATATGTTTGTCTTTTATTGTGTATTTTATATTTTCAAAAAAAAAAAAAACATATGAAATGATACCTTTTGACTCTCTCTGCAA